AATCGGTGATATTATACGCTTAAACATAATACAAGAAAAAATTTAAAATAATTTTAAAAAAAAAAAAGTTAACACCGTATGCTTAAACATAATATAAGAAAAAAATTAAAAATAATTTTTAAAGGAAAAAAAATCGTTGACACAGTACGCTTTAAACATAATAATAGGAAAAAATTTAAAATAATTTTTTAAATTTTTTTTTAAAAAAAAAAACCGTTAACACTGTATGCTTAAACACAATACAAAAAAAAATTCAAAATAATATTTAAAAAAAAAATTAATGACATCATACATTTAAACATAATATAAGAAAAAAATTCAAAATAAATTTTTTATATGTTAACTCTTCACGTAGGAGAGTATTTGTGTCATTTTATTCTCTTATACCGTCTGTGTCATTTTATTCTCTTATACCGTCTGTGTCATTTTATTCTCTTATACCGTCCTTTCATTTGTACTGAGAAAATAATGTCACTGGTAGGTGGTATTTATTAATACCATATAGAAGGCTTTAAAGATACTGCTCAAACCGGATCATAATAAAATAATATTAACTATAAAATATTAAATAAACAAAGTATAAGGTGAATCTCGAATACTATTTCCCTAATTCTAACTCTTTATGCCACTGTTATCCCAAATCAAACTAGCCCCAAAAGTATTCCACAGGACATGCGTTACACCTGATTAAAACGTAAACACATGAAAGGTAGTAACAAATTGTGGGTTAGCGGAAAATTTAAAGGTTTTGTTACAATCGGAACAACCTTTTTGTCTTGTGTGTCCTGTCTTACGTAGAGCTGGTGACAAGGTTTGGTGGGGTTAAAGTCAAATTGGGTTTTAGTACCCCACCCCTGTTAGCCTGTTACTACCTTTTTTCTTAAAAAGATTGGTGGATGCAGACAACTTTACCCACCAGCACTCAAGTCCAGCCGTTTCGAAACTGTAGATTTCCTACACGTGTTCCCGTAACGTTCCATGCAGGAAAGAAAACAATTTTTATATCAAAAAAAAACCCTTATTTGAACTCATGGATAAAATTAATACCTAAAATATACAGAATTTTTTGGGTAAAGCATAAATAATTAACTAAAAATAATAATCATGAATCTTTTTCTCTTTTGTCATTTGGTTGTGAGTTTACAAATAAGGGCTTGTGAAAAAATTATACTCCGGGTCTCTTAATTATGTTGGGTGAGTTAAGTTCATGTTAAAAAATATTTTATTTTATATATATCTGATTCGTTTATTAATTCGTATTTAACGAATCATGTCATATCAGGTTTGTATCGTGTATGTATCATGCATAACTGACATATAAATGAGTCGTGTTATGTATTTTTTTTGATTGATTTTACTCATATTCGATCTATTTATTAATCGTGTCATGTAGAGTCTACTCGTTTAATGAAGACTCAAACCCTCTAATTTTGTGTTGGGTTCGTATCGTGTTATCACATCTTGTCATATTTTGACATTTTTAATTATAATATGTTAAATTATTATCCCATTAGTTGAATTAAAATTACTTTTTAAATATTAAAATTACTCTTAATATTTTAAATTTTATTAATTCATAGCTTTGATTTATACGAGTCGTAATCCAATCTAATTAAATCATATTTTTTTTATTTTTTATAATAAAATAAAAACTCCGACTTTTTTATAATTTTAACAGAGAGAGCGGAGAATTTAAAAAATAAAAAATAAATCAATTGGTACCCTGTGATTATTTTGCTACCTTTTAAAACTCATTTGACCTCTGACAAGACAGCGCAGAGAGGCATATCATTAATGTGCATGGGATTCTACCAGATTACACACATTCATTAGCCACCTAGTCTAGATTTTGCAGTTAAAGCTCCCTACTCCCCTTTCACATTGGTTGTCTCATAATGCAACATTTATGTAGTGAAATGAAAAAAAATGGCATCCTTGATTTTCCTATAATACCCATGGATAAATCTCTTAATTGTTATAATTACCATTCTTTTTTTATTCTTTTATCTTTTTGTCATTTACATGAAAATGGGTTAAGTAAGGTTTGAACTTTGAACCATCCTTTCTTAATGTCTCATATGTCGCTATCGAGTCATTATCTGATCGATAATTCATATGAGCTTAGTGAATAAAAGGGTTCAAGTTGTACATTTTCACTCATGGTTAAATGATCATGTTGTTTATGAGCTTAAATTTTTTTTAAATAAATGATGAACAAGTCAATTTTTCGTAACAAGTTATTTTTAATTTTTTGAAAAAAATTTCTTTGATTAAACAACCAAGTCTAATCATTACTATAGCAATTTTATGATCCATACGAAATGTAAATGGAATTATACAATGAGTTACAAGAGGATTTTGATACAATTTTACATGCACACACCATAGACGCCCGGGAAATGTAAAGATAGATAGATAGATAGAGAAAGAGAGATAAACAACGACTTAGCTTTGGCATTGGCGTTGGCGTTGGCACTCGCTATCATGTGCGGCTAATGATTGTTACCCGTCACAATTTGTGTTTGTCTGTGTGTGTGTGTGAGAGAGAGAGAAGAGACAGAGAGCTAAGAGTGAAAGAAGGGGTCAAAGAGAGGGTTTGCTACTTTTTAACATACACACCCCCACACATCCATTCACGCACAGGAAATGGAAAGATAGATAGATATAGAGAATAGAGAACTGTTTGGTGTTGCGTTGGCATTTGCTATCATGTGCGGCCGATGATTGTTACACGTCAAAATGTGTGTTTGTGAAAGAGAAAGTGAGAGACAGAGCAAGAACGAGCTAAGAGTAAAAAGAAGAGTCAGAGAGAGGATTTACTACATTTTTACACACACCCCCGCATCCACACATACACATGAAAGGGAGAGATAGATAAATAGATAGAAAGATAGAACTATTTGGCGTTGGCATTGAAGTTTGCTATCATGTGCCGCCGATGATTGTTACATGTCACAATGTGTGTGTGTGAAAGAGAGAGAGAGAGAGCGCGCGCTAAGAGGGACAGAAGGGTGAAAAGTGGAGAATGACAAAGAAAGGGGGACTTGATGGAAAGGCTAACGCGCAATTGTCTTGTTATCATATTGCATTTAATAAATGAGATATTACTTGGTGATTGACGAGAAAAAATTCATAAAACAATATTGTTCTCTCATCCATACTCTTCTATTACGAAGTTGATTTCATAATAAAAGAAAATCATATATTTGTTCTCACAGTAATCTCATTCCAATGATAAAAATACAGTGTCATTGGACAAAAGAAGAAAATAATAAGTAAACAAACTCGAAAAAAACCCTATCTTCATATCTAACTGAAATTTTTTTTGTGATGAAGGTTATAGCAAAAAAAAAATGTCATTTGTTGTGATAAGAAACTCCCTCGTGTGATTGAGCAAAAGTTTCTATAATGCTTAGGCAACAAAATGATAACTTGCTGCAATAATTTCACCATTCTAAATTTTCTACAATGACGATGTTATTTCATTATGATTGATTTTTATGGTTGAAGTGGAATTATTTGTTAGTCGTGAAATTTGAAAAAATGCCTTCTCGTCATAGTGTCTTATATCAACATAGAAAAGTTATTTCCAAGTTTAATAGAACACAATTTAAAAAAAAAAATGTGTTGGGTAACATGTTTATGACAAGTTTGTTATGATTGAAAGGATGAAATCATGACGCTCGTTAAAATGATTGAAAAATGCACAAAAGGCAATAATTAATTGGCGTAGTTCAAATGGGGTGGGGGTGGGGGGGGGGGGGGGGGGGGGGAAGGGGAGAGAGAGGAAGTAGTCAAATAATATTTTATTTTTGTAATACTAGAAGGATCATTTTGTCCTACTACATATTATTGATTGATTCTTTTAAAGAATGATGACGTTTTCTTTTTTTTTTCTTTTTCTTATCTATCATTCAAACGGTATACAATATTGTTTGTCATCTACGTTAAAACAAGGGAAATTTAACACAAACAACATGCAAAAAGAAAAATATTGTTTACAATAAATAATGTGCAATATACTCAAAATGATTACTCATTCGACAAAAAAGAATGACATGTGCACACACACACACACGTTTAGAGCATACATTAAAATTGTATTTCTTCGCCATTTTTGTATGTATCGACAACTCGATTTATATCCTTAGAGTAATATTGTTGAATTGCCCAAAAACTAGAAAACCATTATTTAAAGCAAAATTGATCATGCAAACTAAAATAATTACTACCATTTTTACGTTTGTTTACCATTTCAAGTAACGAGGACCATGCAAAAACAAATAATCACAACTATTTGACATAAATAAGAACATACACGCGTATTTTACATGAAATATTTTCGGTATAGATACGTATTAAAAACATTTTTGAAAAGGAAGGATCACAACATGTTCACCATCTTATGTTTCCTCTTATTAGGCCATGCACTTCAAAAATAAAGTATACATCACAAATCGAATTTCTACAATAATAAAACAGAATAATAGTAATATTACCACAAAGAACAATGGCACAAAGACAGTGGCAGAATAGTAAGAAGAAATTGCTATCAAGGATAGTTTCGTCATACTATGCTATTCATATTTCTTTTTTCTATGTTTGCGGCTAATCCCTTTTTAAAATTCCTAAAATACCAAGCTACGATCAGGTGTGGTTTGCGGTTGTAAGCTTCCAAAAGAGGCAACTGTTGAACTGATCATTAAGTCCACAAAGTTTCAAACATGTTTGACTTCTTACTCTCACAGCCAATGTCTTCTTCACCCCTACTGAATTTAACTGCACCCAATCTCGTCTGATCTTTCCTCCTCAATCTCTTTTCAAAAACCGTCGTTCACGTCTCTCTCTCTCTCTCCACACCCGACCAGTATAAAAATCAGTATACACCCACCTTTCATCTTCACCTCGCGAATCCCAAGTACTCCAACGATCAAATTCTTCAAAGCTTCCTCTCTCTGTCTCTCTTTCTCTCTGCCTTGGTCTTTGACTCTTTTTGGGTGATGAGCATTGCTCCAATGGCGCAAGTTACCCAACTGCCTATCGACAACGATGGCATTTGCATGGTCTGCAAGGAAAAGCCCGGGGGAGATCGAAGACTGACTTGCAACACGTGCGTGACTCCGTGGCACGTGACCTGCCTCCCTAACGTTCTCGAAACCCTACGAGCCGCGCTCCACTTTGTTTGCCCAGACTGTGAAACACTCGCTGACGGCGGAGATATCGCCGGAGCTCCGGCACCAGATCCATCCGGAGGCGAGCTTGTAGCAAAGATTCGGGCGATCGAGGCTGATACGAGTCTCACGGAGAGAGAGAAGGCGAAGAAGAGACAGGAGGTTTTGAGTGGAAAAGCTCATGAGGAGGAGGGGAGTGATGATGAGAAGGAAAAGAAGAACAGGAAGGGGAAAGAGAAAGTGGTGGAGAGAGGAGAGAATGATGTGTTGGATGTTCTTGGCGAAAACTTCAAGTGCTCGTTTTGTATGCAGCTGCCAGAGAGGCCTGTTACGGTATATACCCTTTTGTTCTTTGCTTTTTTTGGGCTTTGTCTGTGTTTTCTTGTTTGTTTAGCCTAGAGTTATATATCACTTATATATATATATATATATATATATATACACGTAGCTTGCGTAAATATATTTGCATTTGTGCATGGGTCCACAATCTGCATTGGCTTTTGGAATTGATTCGTGATTTCAGAGAACTCTCAGGTATAGTGTTTTTAAGGTCCTTTTGTTGTTCGATCGCTCTAGATATCTTTTGAGTTTATTTTTTATTTTTTACTTTTTTAATAGTATCTGATGATCTCTCTTTCTCCCCCACAGTGCTACCACATCCCACAGAAAGCGATCACCCAAGTCAATTTTCCCTAGTTATTGATAGATTCATGCCACAAATGCTAGTGGCGTTCCTGTTCTACGCTTCAAATTATCTCTTGTATTTTGATTTTTGTCTTTATAAATTTTCTTGGTTTTATCGGAAATTAACTAGGGTTTTTGTGGGTTCATCCTCAATTCAATCATATCTACTCTTATTCAGTTGATGTGGTTTACCATTTCCTTAATTCTACTTGGTGGGTTTTCCGGTTTACAGTTGCATCATTGCATTGATGCTTCAGGCGAGATTGTTTTGTTGAATGATGTTCTATATGTATTGGACTGATATGAAATTTTAATGTACTTTGCTTTCCTAATCCAATGTTTATGTTTGATTACTTTATATGCTTTTTTGGGTACACTCTCTTGATTCACTGCTCACTCTTTCCTCTTTTACCATACTTGTTTCTCGTTTACACAATTTTGTCATACATCTTGTTCAATTTTAGCTGCTGTAGAATATTATTTAACGGTTTGAAGATATCTGTCCTCATGCTTGTCCTAGTGTGGCATTCCTTAAGAGGGATCAGATCACCATTCTAAAGGATGCATTTAGGTGTTGTGATCTATAATTGTGCATTTTCTTTAATGGAACTATATGTTTCTTCTATTGGCACTGATTAACAGTAGGGAGTAGGGACTATGCACCAACTAACTTGTCTTAGTTCATAGTTCGAGTTGGATAAGCATATCATTTCCATTTTTGATACTGAATAGAAAGTCAATTTTGAAGTTCTTGTATGTTTTATGTCTCATGGGCTTGCTATTCCACTAAGCGAATATAAATGAAGAGGTGAGTTTTTCACAGCAGCAGTGCACATCACTGCATTCAGAGGGCCCTTTTTGGACGGCTCGACATGTCAGCAGTCTTTATTGCAATGTTTTGTTGATGGAATTGCATGTTTGTATTCTATGGTTTTGTTTTATGGACGGTGTATACATGTACATCAGAGGAGTGAGGTTGCTAATATTCCTTTTTTGTTTCCATTTTTCCAGACACCTTGTGGCCACAATTTTTGCTTAAAATGCTTCCAAAAGTGGATTGGGCAAGGGAAACGGTCTTGTGCAAAGTGTCGTTGCAATATTCCCCCCAAAATGGCAAGTCAGCCGCGCATCAACTCTACTCTTGTAGTTGCCATCCGAATGGCCAAGATGTCCAGATCAATTGCCACTGGTGGGCCTCAGAGCGTATATCATTTTGTGCACAACCAAGACCGACCTGATAAGGCATATACTACTGACCGGGCACAGAGGGCTGGGATGGCCAACGCTGCCAGTGGGAGGATATTTGTCACCGTCCCACCTGACCATTTTGGACCTATCCTTGCTGAGAATGATCCAGATAGGAAGCAGGGTGTCTTGGTTGGGGAGTGTTGGGAGAATCGCATGGAATGCAGGCAATGGGGAATTCATCGTCCTCATGTTGCTGGAATTGCTGGACAATCAGAATATGGTGCGCAATCGGTGGTACTTTCAGGAGGTTATGAGGATGATGAGGATCATGGGGAATGGTTCCTCTACACAGGAAGGTCTGTTTTATGGGATTTCTATAATTCACTTGAACTAGTAGCAAATAAGTTGTTCTCTAAGCCTATTGTTGGAGACAATTTATGAAGTGCTTTGTTGATTGCTTAAATGCTCTGGTCATTGCACATTCTGCCATGCATGTCACTTAGGTATTTAAAATTTAAAATTTTATTTTTTCTATGTTTTCACCTTTTGCGGATGTACAATACAGAACTGGATATTTTCTGCTACAATATATGCCCTTTCCCCTTTGTCTGAGCACCTTGAATCTCCATGATAGATTGATGTGTGTCGGCTATTCTTTGTTGCCGTTTCTCTTTTGCTTTTAGTGAACCTTTTGTAAATATTCGTCAGATTTGTGTTCATATTGTGTTCTGATGATAATGATGTGTTTTCATGGTGAGTGTGGCAGTGGTGGGAGGGATCTTAGTGGGAACAAGCGGACTAACAAGGAACAATCATTTGATCAGAAATTCGACAATTACAATGAGGCTCTGCGAGTTAGCTGCAAAAGAGGCTATCCAGTCCGAGTAGTCAGGTAACTATGAGTGCGTGGGAATTATCTAACGCATTTATTTGTTCCTTTTGTGATTGGATTAAATATTCCCTAGTTTTGTATCATGAAGAATCAGAGGATACCAAACTGTGGAGATTTAGATTTCTTTTCTTGGCTGCATAATTTCACTTAGTTTAAAACCTTTCTTACTTTCTGAGAATGTTGCGTTTCCAACTTGAGCGTAAAACTTTTATCCTATAATGGAAAAACCTCCCTTGGTGATTTAAAGTATCAAGCACCTAATGCTTTTCAAACATCTGTAACGCCAAACTTATTTATGATGTATCATTTATCCTTGCGGTTTCATAATTGTAGATACTGGATTATACATTATAGTTTTACCTAATACGAGTTGTGATAAAGCCAAAAGATTATAATGTAAAGTCAAAGTATTTTCATTGGACCAGAATGATGGTGGCACTCTCTAATGAAACGTAACTGATAGGTTTCAGGCTTATTGGAGTACTTAAATGAGAAGTGACCTATCGACTAATAACTTGGGGTTTGAGTTTTATACCTAGTGCAATTTTTCATATACAACTCAGTGTATGGTCTTATGGTAGTTGCCATAGTTTAACTTTGTTTCTAAAAGCCTCGCTAGCTGTGAGTAAGTTGCAGTTCCAAGGAACAACTACACACCTTTTGCATTCGGTACTTGAGTCAAATGAAGATCAGAGTCGATTCCACCAGTTAACCGGTTTGTGAGAATGGATTATTTGCCTTGGATTGGTTAAAAGAGTTCAGCTTCTGTAGAATGGGAATTTGGAAAAAAAGAAGATACTGATTGCTATTTTTTTCCCATCTTAATCAATTGCTGCTATGTTCTTTTGTTGGACTTGGACAGATCTGAGAAAGAGAAGCGTTCTTCCTATGCCCCCGAGAAGGGGTTGCGGTATGATGGGATCTACAGGATAGAAAAATGCTGGAGAAAAGTTGGTAAACAGGTAACCATTTGAGGTGTAATTGCAATGGATGTGCGTATCATGTTGTTTTACTATCTCAGCAGATTTATTATTAACTGGATTTTGCTGCATTAGGGCTTTAAGGTTTGCCGATACTTATTTGTAAGATGTGACAATGACCCTGCACCATGGACCAGGTTTGTGTTTGTTCATGCTCATGTATTTTTCCTTAATAGAACTATTTCTTCGCTGACTTTCATCATATCTAACTTCAGCGACGAGCATGGGGACCAACCTAGATGCCTGCCGGTCATACCTGAACTCAAGCAGGCAATTGACCCTTTCGAAAGGGTGGACAATCCGTTCTGGGATTATGATGTGAATATCATTTCTCTTTCAGGAATGCAAATTTAGTTTTTGAAGATGATGTGTGCTTGTAAATAATTTTTGCGTTAAATGTAAAGTTATCACCTGTGAATCTATATTACATATATACATTTATGGTATATAATAGTAAGCCAGTATAAAGCCCCAAGGGCTCAAGCTATAATGCTGCAAAAGGTACGATTTCAACATGACCAACGAACAAAGTGCTAATATAGACAGTAACCCCAAAACACCCAACTCATTAAAAGACTTTACTTTGGGACCTCAATTATGGGCGCGATCTTATTTTTCTTCCCCTAGCTTTTAGCCACTTTTTTCTACATATCTTCAGTTTTCTTTACCTTGAATCTCAGGAGGAAGAAGCCCACTGGAAGTGGAAAAAACCACCACCCCCTAGCCAGAAAAGAGTAACTGCAGCGATTCCCGAGGACGGAGAGAGGGCTAGAAGAGAAATAAGGAAGGCACAAAATACTTCTGTAAAAGAAAAACTTCTGAAAGGTTTGGCCTACTTCCCTATATTTTTTCTCCTATACTTATTTGCTCTCTGGGCTTGATAGTGTGAACCAGTAAGTGGATCCACATTTCATAAGATTATCCTAGATGTGGTTTCTTATAAAACTAATATTGTAAGTTTATGGTAATTGGTAGGATTCCATAATTTGGAAGCCAAAAGCTGGGTTATGTCATCTGCTAGGTTTTTTTTGTTACACTTCATCTTGCAAATTCATTGCGATATAGGGTTACTATTATAGATCTCGCATCTTTGATTTTAAATGTGTGGGAATTTATTATGGTAAGGTATCCATGCAGAATTCAATTGTCTGCTCTGTAGAAGGGTGTTGAATCTCCCTCTCACGACACCCTGTGCTCATAACTTTTGCAAAACATGTCTGGAAGGAGCATTTGCTGGCCAGACTTATATGAAGGAGAGAACATGCCAAAACGGTAGGAAGCTGCGTACGCAGAAAACTGTCATGAAGTGCCCTACCTGCTCACAGGACATATCAGAGTTCCTCCAGCGTCCACAGGTTTCGTGCACATACTCTTCATCTCTACTCTATGCCGTTGAGATATTAGTGCAACCATTTTCACTGATTGCTGGAAAGATGAACTAGAGAGAGAGTAAACCCTGAACTCCTGTGTCTATCTGGGGTTGGAACGCTTTTGAAAATTTTCTTGATGCAGTCATTCATTGTATGCTCTGTGGTTCCCTTTGTTTAGTGAGCAGTATTGTTGACTACACATATGACCTATGCATTTTCCTTCCTTGCAGGTTAACAGAGAACTTATGGAAGTAATACAGCAACTTCAATGTAAAGTGGAAGAGGATGGGAATAATATAGAGAATTCCTCTGAGGGGAAAGCTGATATGTTTGTTGAGGAGAGTTCCAATGCTTTATCTGAGGGGCCTGAAATAGAATTGTCTAATCCTCAAGCTGAAGGCAAGCCTGGAAAGGCTAATGCTGCTAGACCTTCGACCGAGCAGAAGCCCAAGAGGACATACAAGACAAAGAAAAATATGTTTGTTGAGGAGAGTTCCAATGCTTTATCTGAGGGGCCTGAAATAGAATTGTCTAATCCTCAAGCTGAAGACAAGCCTGGAAAGACCTCCAAGCGAATGAATACTAACGCTAGCCCTTCAACCGAGCAGAAGCCCAAGAGGACATACAAGAGAAAGAAAAATGATGCTGTAGATGGCTTGTTCAATGATGGTGTGAAAGAAAACACAATTTCTGGGGATACTGATGGCAGCAATGATTTGCAAGCCCTCATGGTTCAATGCCATGAAGCAGGCCAGGGGAGGCCAGAAGGCGGGGCGAAGGCGCAAGAAGCTGTGGATGACGGAAATGATTCACCTTCAAGTCCCCTCCATCTGCAAACACATGAAAGTGAATAGTCATGTTTGATTGAACCAGGAAATAAATTTGTATTCATTGGGGGGATCTGGGAATCACTAGTTTTTTATTGTCGTGAAACAGATTACATTGCTTTGGTTTCTAGGTTAAGTTTAGCGCCAGGTAATTCAGGTCTTTAGAATCCACAATAGTTTAGTGTTGTTTTTAATATTTTTTCTTTTTTAATACAGCATGTGAGATAAATAATGTTAGATTTCCCTTTTGATAAACAAAAGCTTGTTTATGTTTGCTTTGTGACTTCCTTTTTAATTGTGGTCCAAATTGCCATTCCTATTGTTTATTGAGATACCGGGGGACTGTGTGTACTTGTGAAAAGGTCAGAAACAGAGTAAATATCATGAATCACATATCTAAAAGAACCAACTTGGGAAACGGTAATTACTGTTGATGTACGGGAGATTTCTCGAACAACAATGAGATAGCGACACTCCGGTTTGTACTGGAATGAAAATCTTGGGCTCTCGGGAGGAATAATCCGGCACTCACAAAAAAAAATTACAAGGAATATCGGAGGTGTCTCCGGCATTTTTCGTCTGATACTTAAAATTATTTTTTGAAAAGGGAGATACATACAAGCTAATGTTAGGTTCAAATTGTGTACCTTTGTTTTTTAACTTGGTGTCCTATTTATACCGTCTAGCAGAGTGGCTAAATCATACAAGGTTATCCAGCTGATCCCATTCCTAGGAAGGCTTTTGATTGGTTCATACCAAAGAGGGCTAAATCATACAAGGTTATCCAGCTGATCCCATTCCTAGGAAGGCTCTTGATTGGTTCATACCAAAGACATCACGGATTTTTCTCTGGTCTGATCAAGTGAGCAGGCATCAAACAAATTACATGTTTCGCCTCGATTCTCAACATTCTGCATGCATGAGCATATGATACTACGTTAATGACATTAAACGTTCGGTATCTTGACTGAAGTCGAGCATTTATTGTGCATTTACTGCCTTTGACTTAAGTCTCTCAACTATAATTGCTTATCAAATATAGACATGTGTGTATAAGGAGCATTTATTGTTTATAAAGGTCTTGGAACATAGCATTTACTAAACATTTAAGAATATTCATTTAATATTGATCACAGAGTACTTTTGTGCACCTTCTAATCACTTGGGGAATAAGAACCATGCCTGTTGGTCAATTGAGCACAAATCTATAGGAGACATTCTTTCAATTATTCTCAGGTAGACAAATTCTCCAAGGTTGCACCATCATATGACAATTGTTTCCTAAGGCCGCATCGATGGATGAGCTCGACATATATAATCATCGGTCATCTCAATATACTCCAAAGTAGGTACTATAGCTTACAAAATCATCACTGTTTCTTAGGTATTATACCTTGCGTAATCATTATTTTTACGTATTTGTTTCTAATTAATCTGACAGACCACGTCCCCTCAATTGTTATAACTTCTATTGTGGTCTTTCTCTATACAGAATTAAGAAACCCAACAAATTAGTATAATTTTCTTGTCTAATAAAACAAATTAGAAGGAATTTTTTGGCCCCAGACATAAATTAAGAAGATAAATTTAGCAAATGCCACCAAAATTAACCACTCTGAGTCCCGACCCGTGAGGTGGTGATCCTTGGGGCGGGTTTTGTGGTTTTACATAAAGGGTAAACCACAACCCGACTCGGAATTGCATGAAAAACACTCGCGTCTCTCTTAGAACCCTAGCTTCTGTTTCTGTAAGTACTGTGTATTTGCTTGTATTGAGTTAAATATTCCATTTCATCTGTGTTTTTTGATCTCATGCAATGATGTGTTGCCATTATCATAGTAAAAACCTGAGATTCGATCGTGTAATTATAAGTTGCCCGTCTTATCGGTGAATTCGATTTTGCATTACCACTATTATCATTCCAGGGTTTAATTTAGTCTTTATACTACGTAAAACATAGAAATCAGCCAGTTCCGTCCACTTTTGCATTAAAACCAGTGGAAAAGGTCAAGAAACTTGTTTCAGTTTGCCCTTAAACTTTCTTTTTTAGTTTTTTTGTTTGTTTTATCTGTGGAATTGTATAGAAAGAGCTTATTGCTACGTGTTACACAGTTTTAACGACTATATTTGAGACAGTCGAAAGTTGAGGGGGGCATTTTAGAACCGTAGACATCGTTCGAAGGCCATTTGAGAAAATTATCCTATATTATGGGTGCATTTTTCTGTATCCAGGATATTTCCTTTTTTGATGTGGGTATTTTTATCCCTTTGATGTTAGAATTGATAGATAAATGTGTATTTCCAGATCCAACATATTTTCTGCTATTGATGAGAGTATTTTTGTCATTTCCTCTTGTCTGGAATTGAAGGGAGTGCCTGTAGCATCTTTTAGAGTCCTGATATCATTGTTCTTCATGATTTTTCGTACAATCCATGTGAGGAAGACTTATTTGTCAATGAATTCATGAAACAATATTATGCTTTATTTGGTAGGAAGGATAGAAAGTAGGAGGGATGAAAAATAGGAATGATACATTTTATATCCTCCAAGGAAGGAAAGTAGGAATGATACACTTTTCGTCCTTTGTATTTAGTAGGATTGATGGAAAGTAGAAATGATTATTTTTTTGTGTTTGATATTAATGAAAAAATAAAATGATGAAAATATAAAAATACATAATATATAATTGATAAATATGATCTATAGACAAATAACATACATTTCAACACACATAATTAACTTTTCCTTCATTTTCCTCCCAATTTTGGTGGGATTGATTTTAATGAGTTGGAAGGAAAGTTGATCTATCCACTTTTCCATCCTTCCTATTTTCATTCTTTACTAAATATGATGTTTTATCTATCTTTCTAACTTTTAATTTGTCCATTTTTCTATAGTACCAAACGGAGGAAAAAGACTTGCATTATTGGGATAAGAACCAAAATCAAGTACAGACAAATTTTCCAATTAGTTATACTTTATCTTTTTCGAATGATAGACCACTCCTTGAAGAGATCCACAACTGAAGTCACTTGCGCTCAGGGTTGGTGTGCATTCCCAGTGGAGGTATTACCTGACCAGGTTAGGGATGAAAAGAGACATTCGATAATTGTATCAGTGTCTAAGTTGTTTGTATAAAACAGAAAGATGGGCTCTTATAGGCCATTTTAGAACATCACAAGTTACATGTCTTTAGTTCCTTGCTCCCCATGTGTTCTAAAATGGATAAACTGGTGAGGTTCTTGGAATCCCTGAATAGCCATATATTGAGCTTCATTTTCTTTTGAATAATTGGCTTTCTTATTTAATGAATCACCAGCTCTTAGATGCTATAATATTATGCTCTTTATGCTAAAATTTTACTTGGTGGTTGGTTTTATTGTAGGTTTCTTGGTTTCTGAACTCATTTATCTCTTTAGTGCCTCGGAGTGGGAATTTTTACTTCCCTAATTTTCAGACATGGTATGTATTCTTAACTACCTTTCATTCAATGCTATTTTTTGGGATCTTGTTGCTTGTACTCTTTTATAGTGGATGTCTGTTTATGTATTATCATGTGGTCTCTTCAGTTCATGAGTTTGCTGTTTATACTGTCATTATATCATTTGCTAGGCCAACACATACCTGAACAGGAGGTCGATATAACTTGCCAAAGTGGCTGGATTTAGGGGAAATAGTTCTATACATGGTAACTATAATATGCATTGGAAATATGAATGTGAGCCCCCTCTCTCTCTCTCTCTCTCTCTCTCTCTCTCTCTCTCCCTCTCTGTGTGGAACACTGGAAACACTTAAATGATTGCTGAGGCTTTACAGTGGAAAAAGCACTGAATTGATCTCAAAAAAATTTATTTAGGAAAATTTGTTGATTCCTTATTTCACATTTTCTTTCCAGGCGAGGTGAGTCACAGATTTTCATGCTGCACACGTTTTAAACTTGGATCCAAGTCAATTGTTCCTAATCTCTGGTTGAATTTGGTATTATTGTAGCACCTGATTATCTTCCAAGTTTTTGGGATGGGGTTCTACAGTGTTCCATGGCCTAAACCAAAGGACATGCCTTAGCCAATAGCTAAAAAGTGAAACTCGAGGGAGGCTCTGGTTTGTCCCTAGGCCCACATGTAGGCATGTGGAAAGGATTGAATTAGGTAAAACAATTTGATTTGGTCATATCATGCTACAACTGTAGGTCATAATCCTTAAAAGTTCAGCAAATGCTTCAATGTGGGAGGGCTTCAATGTCTGGGTGGATTTAACAACAGTAACAATGTAACATGTTAGATCTAAATGGTAAACTCTATTGGATGCTTGGATGCACCCCTGGTTACCGTGATTAATCTCCATTTTTGATTTATTTGATTTAGGAGTGCAAATGAGCCAAGTTGGGTCAAGGTTTTCAAGATTTGCTTGGTTTATTTTGCTTGATGTTTTGTGTCCCGTTTTACCCTTGTTGCATTAGTTTCATGTGTAATTATCCCTTCTCTTCCCTTAAAACTTTTATGCCCTTGACACTAGTGTTATTAATGAAGTTATGGTTTCATTTGTTTGTGAATTGCACTAAATTGTTCGGTTACTCATGGGATATGTGAAGCTTGTTTCTAACTTCAAGCCTAGAGCACTATTGAATAAGAAAGCATTTTGATAGCATTCTGTACTTGACTTCTATTGGTGACTCAGGCTTCAAGGCTTCTCGCCAATTTGATTGTGATGGGCTCTGGAATAATGGCAAGGGCTCTAGTTCAAGCATATCGTCAGGCACTGGCAAGTATGTCTTTTGTTTATACTTCTTCTCTCATTGGCTTTCTATCTAGGAATTTGGAAATTGATCCCCCCACCCCCCTCTTTTTTTCTCTCCTACTTTTGGCATGCTGCACAAGAAAACTAATAATTGGGGGAAGCAAGGTTAACTTCAGCAGCTACCAACTTGTGGTCATGCAGGCACAATTTTGCAAGCCTTTTCTAGCTCTTGAAATAATGTGCTAAATTTTTTGCAAATTAGAGAAAACATGGTATCCTCCTTTGGTTGGCCTCTTCAACATATTTATTGCTTCATTCTTCTGTTGTAGTTTTGGACCATGAATTCTTTTGAACTTAAAGAGCTATGCTCCTCTAAAGCATTGGTATTCTTTGTTGTATTGGTTACATTTCTTGGTCTATTGTTCTCTTGCTGCATCAATTTTCGACATGTTGTTTATACTAAATTTGTACCCGTTAATTGCAGATGCATCAAGAAATGGTGTTGCTCATGAAGCAGTACAAAACATCAGAAGAGCCAGCAAAACAATGGCTGAACCAGAGGCAAGGCAGATTCTAGGTGTCACTGAGCATTCTTCATGGGAGGACATCTTACAGGTTTATCTCATGTTCCGAATTTTCTATTCAACATGCCATCGTAAAGGCAGTAATCTAGTCATTTGTACTTAGTGTCAATTAAAAATACGTGTTCCCCTTCCTGCAGAAGTATGATAACTTGTTTGAGCAGAATGCCAAAAATGGGAGTTTTTACCTTCAATCAAAGGTTCATAGAGCCAAAGAATGTTTAGAAGCCGTTCACCGGAGCAACACTCAGGGAACAGAAAATCAATAATCCGGTGGAGTTATCCCTTCTTAGTTTATGGAAAATTTCCTTGTCAATTAAGGGTTGTCTAAATCCTTTTTTGATATTCATGATTCATTATATGCACCACCCTGGTGTTCCTGTGTAAGGTCACTAATCTGTATTCGAATAGTTAAATATAGTTTTTACTTTTATTCCCATTAATGAAATCATAATGACAAATTTTCTATGCGATCTTTTTGCAGTATTGGTGAATATTTGCTACAGATGGAGATGGGAGGTGTTTTGGCAGTGATTTTGCTGCTTGTAAATCCATTAGATTGGATGAGTCATTTGTGGGATAATAATAAGAGTTTTTTCTAGGTTCGTAAAGGCAGCTTATTGCATTGCATGAGACTCTCAACGTAGTTACCGTCAAACAGCAGATTTCTGTATGCATGGGTACCCTACCTGTTTTCAGAAGTGTTTTATGTATGCATTGCACGATATGGAAAGCCCATCACCAAGCTACATGTACCCCTAAGATAAAAGAAGCTGTTGGCTCGGCAATTTTTAGAAATTACTTTAAAAAAAGATAATGAAAAATTAGACTTTATTTCCAGGCGATTGTGATTTGCAATTAGTTCCTCTTGAGAACCCAAGAAGAAATGATTCAAGTTGAGGACCTTGTTGGTGTCGGCAAAAGCAGACGTTTAAGTCATATTTTCCAACCACGACTTTTATTATATTTTTTGGTAAATTTTCTTTCTTTTTTTTTTTTGTTTTATCAAATCCAAATAGTATAAAGATCATAAATCTTAAATGTTTAATTTAGCAAAAGTAGATTTAAGATCAAAGATTTTAAATGACCAATCTAGTATAACCAAATCTTACGAAGAAATTGCCCATCGTAAGTATGAGTACCTCTTTTCCTTTGATTCTACATATTTTTTATGCATTTTATAGTAATAATCATAAAAATAAAAAATAACTTAACGTAACTTATTATATTCCTTGTAATTTTTTTTTTTAATTTTTTGGGTCAATATCTTCCTAGTAACTCAAACTATACGTGTGTGTGTATTGCGACTCTTATGTCATGATGACAATTTGAACTTAGCCCCGCCCCTCGTTGACTTGCCAGGCATTCCACTGTACAAGTAATAGACCATAAGGAGAAGATTACGATACCCAAAAACTTTTGGTATTAAATCTCTAAAATTTATAGATTTTTGTGAGTATTATTATAATAAAAAAATCTATAATTTTTAAGGTCATATTATAATTTTGGATTAATAATATTTTTTATCTTTAAAGTATACACGTTTTGTTAATTTAGTTTTTAAAATATTTGATTTATGTTTAAATAATCCCTATACAGACAAATTATTGAATTTTTAACAGATTGATCAGTTGTTGATGAGAATCCCATTAGAGCGTCTTCTACTTCTAATAAGTCAAACTAAATTAGAATTATTATCAACTAGCCCATAAGAAATAATTCTATTTTTTCATCAAGTTCAAGTAAAAGTCAAAGTTCTTGAACGACCAATCCAATGTAATTAAACCTTTCGATGTGAGTGCCCATAGCAAGTAGGAGTACCTCTTTTCCTTTGATTTGATTTGATTTATTTTGTTTTTTGGGCCAGTATCTTCCTTGCAACTCAACCTGTATACATGTGTGTGTATATGTTGCCGTATTAGTGACACCGACTCTTTTGTCTCAATGACAATTTGAACTTAGCCCTGGCCCTGGTTGACTTGTGAGGCATTGCATTGTACAAGTAATAGACCATGTAAGGAGAAGATTACGGTACCAAAAACTTTTCGATCAAAAAGAAAAGAAGACAACGTACTCTCACCTCCATGTAAGTAGGGCAGGCAGCCTATCGAGTAGTTGTTGAGCAAAGGGCGCCTCACTATTACTTAAGAAATTTAATTCATTAATGATCGAGCAATTTCATAACTTCAATTTTTTTTAACCAACTGACCTTACTTTTCGTAACTGGTCTCATGTCAACTCCTAACTGACATCAACCCGAAGGCCTAAAAGCTCAAAAACAGAGGAAGGGTACTCCAACCGTCTTGGCTAAGCTCCGTGAGCATAAATTGTATTTGAAGCAGGAAAAATGTGGCTTCACTAAGACAGAGTTTACGTTTTTGGGACATCGTATTGGGCACGGACATTTTTTTGTTTTTAAAGTATATATGTTTTGTCAATTTTGTCTCTTAAAGTATTCGATTCATATTTAAATAATCCTTACACAAACAGACTGTTAAATTTTTAACAGAATAATCACTTGTTAATCACGTAATACCATCTTAAAGAATAATACGTGGTCACTTCCGTTAAAAAATTTATGCTCTATTTGGTATGACTGAAAAATTAGAAAGATAAATAAAATATCATGTTTGGTAAAAAAAAAAAAATATAAGAAAGATGAAAAAGTTAATGGATTAATTTTCTTTCTAACTTACCAAAATCAATTCCTTTAAAATTGAAAGAAAAGTGGATGAAAAATTAATTATTTGTGTTGTGATGTATTTTATTTGTTTGTATATCTTTTTATATTTACATATATTATGTATACATTAATTTTATGAAAAAATACAATGATAAAATATGTATTTATAATATTTTTTAAAAAAATTAAAAATATTTTTTTTTTCATCTTAGTTGAGGGTGAAATTTAGTTAAATAAATTGAATTAGATTTGACTAATGTTCGACACAAATCCACAATGACTCAACACGACTTAATTGTCACCCTAATCTTAGTCAGCACAAAAAAAAAATTTAATCATTTTTATTTTATCATCCATTCTACCAAACATAAAGAAATGCAACTGTATCAGTCCTACTTTCATTCTTTAAAAGATAAAAAATATATTCATCATATTTTCTATCATGTCTATTTTTCATTATTCTTACCGAACGAAGTATTAACGAATTGTTTAATTAGAGATTAAAGTGACATAAATTAAAATTTTAAGGACTAAATCAATAAATTAATATAATAAGGACCAGTATGACAAAGCAAACATATTTTAAGGACTAAAAATATCCTTAATCCTACAACTTTTTATGGACTACTTAAAATCGATCCTAAAAAATTTAGAATTATTTCCAAATAGCTCACAATAGTTGTAAATAATTCTAAAAATTAAAAATAAACTTAAAATTTTGTAAAAAATAATCACAAAATTTTTAATAGAGGTACGATACCCATTTTTTTTTTTTGGGTACTGTAAATTACCCCAGACTATTATAGATAGCTTGTCCAGTTGTCCTAAAAAACCTGGACCAACGCAGTGATGGTGATACCAAAAAGTCAAAGCAATTGTTAGGCAGCGATTGTGAAGTGTGCCAAAATGTTTGACAAAACGAGGGTGAGCCAACGACAACATCAGTGACAAGCCGGCCGGTTCTCGGAGGCGCCGCATCAGCCGACCAAATAATGGTGATAAGCATAAACAATAATAGTCAATAGGCTTTACAATAATGTTCGGAGAACCAATTAAAAATTGACAGTTCAGCTCAAGTGGGGCCCAAAATCAAAGTTTCTGTTTACCAAGTCTCACATGTCACTGCACCATTTCACCGACCCCGCCGGTCCACCACATCCCTTTCTTACCTGTAATACAGAAAAATCACCAACACCCACTGACCAATGGAGAAAAAAAATAAATTTTATTGCAATAGATTTCATACTACCCATATCTAAGTCAAATAAGAAGAAGAAATACTGTTTCAATCAAATTCAACAAGAAAAAAAAAAAACAGAGAAAAGGCCAGAATTGATACGGTATTTCAGGTGGTGATAAAGATGAATCGTAAATTTAGACGTCTAGAATTTAAATATTGGCAATCTCTTGTGATCAAATTATGATAAATTTATCTCTCATAAATACTCTAATTCTGGAGTAGATGACCTCTCTTTGACTAGATAAAGGAAGGGATTTGTCGAAGTATGTATAACCTGATCCAGACACCCCTGACCGTTGAAAAAAAAATCACCTTCCCTTTTCCCATTTGTTGTTTTTGAATTGATTTATTGTTTTTGTTAACTGATTAATTCTTTTCATTTGTTTTAAAATGGTTTTGAAAAATTGGTTTGATTGGAGGAGAAATGCTGACAAAATCTATCTCCTTACACAATCACATTTATTAAACAACAAAAAAAATTAATAAAAAAAATACTTACAAAATTTATCTCTTTCTCCAATCGAAAGAAGTGTATAAGCATCTCTCTTTAGTCAAAAAAAAAAAATCAAACCAAACACATTTTTTACTTCTCTTAAACTTTTTTTTTTCTCATTTGAACTCAAAACACCAATTAAACAATTTATTTTTATTAAAAAAATATTTTTATAAAGTTCTTATTTGTAACAAATAAAATATAACAAAAATTTAGGTGAAAGTTGCATGGATAAATAAATAAAATTCAAAGATAATAAAATAATTCAAAAGAATAATAACAATGAATTTATTTATAATGAAGTCAATAATCTAATTCTATAGTTTCGATAAAAAAAAATAAAACAAATAAAAAGAACATAAAAATATTAGTAAAAAATTAATTTTATTCTTATAAATATTTATGATCAAAAGTCATATTATTAATTTTAAAAATATATTAGCAAAATTTAAATAAAAAAAATTTACAATTTCGAATCTTATCAAAAAAGAAAAATATCCCTTTCATTTCTAAATATATGTCGTTTTACACAATTTTTTTTATTTCATAACATTTGTCGTTTAATGAAATCAAAACATAATTAATATTTTTTTTTCAAATTTACCCTTAACTTTTCAATCATTAGATTAGGTGAAGTTTAAGTGTTTTTCATATTTTTTTTCTTTCTAATACATATTGAATAAGGATATTTTAATTTTGTTTATTCATATTAGAGTTATTTAATAACTTTCTTAATACTTGTGGAAAAATTTTAAATGACAGATATTTAAGAATGAAAAGAGTATTAAATTTTAAATTAAAAAATTAAATTATTATTTAAAAAATATAAAAATATAATTGATCGTCGTTGGTGAGCCGCCCCCCGGAGACAAGGTGCAATGGGCTGGTTGTGAGTGATGGTGTGTGTCGCGTGAGTTTCTGCGCCGGTGTGATTCTGTGTGAAAAGCAGGAAGAACGAAGAGGACATAGACAGAGAGGTGTGGGACAAACTTTGATGATGGGGCCATAATAGCTGAGTTGTTTATCACTGATTGGATG